GCTTTGATAAATAACCGGTACGCAGGACAGAGAATTATTCGAGGATATAATTGGAGCTGCGGTGTTTGTAGACGTGCTGGGCTGAACAGACTTGTTAGATCTAAGAGAAGGCGTCGTACCCCTAAACGGAACTGTATTACCTATCTTTTGGGTCGGAGTCTGATTCAATTTTCGAGTCTCACCGTTCTGACGCCAAGCCACTGGTGACTTAGCTGTAGACCTTACAGCACCCAGTTGGACAATAGAAGTTATCGGTCTAGCTGATGTAGACGGATTTTCATGTGTCTCAGCGGGACTATCCGGAGGATACGAAACGACAAATGGGGCTGCTGCTGCTGCTGCTGCTGCTGCTGCTGCTGCTGCTGCAACTTTAGGGGCAGGCAAATGCGTCAAGTGGCTTGACTGAGATGGAGATGAAGGAGAAAGAGGAAGGAGGGAGTCAGATGTCGCAGGAGTAGGAGAAGCTGAATCCTTACGGCCACTTGTATTATGACCGAGTTGGGGAGCATTAGGCTGAGAAGCAGTAGGTTTACGTGAGAATAGAGACCCCATTCTACGCTCCATAGGAGTAAGATCATGACAAAGGAAAAATTTTGCCTTCTCTAGGTACGCAGTAACACGCTCTCGATGAGTAAAGATTGTGTCAACTTCGATTGATGAAAACAATTTGACTAAGATGTGTGGATTTGTACTACGGGAGGACAAGCGTTTGGCATCAGCTATTTTATAGTTGAAACCACATGAATACAGGAAACTGGTCACAACATCAATTGGCCGAGCAGATCGAGGAACATTTTTTAGCAGGAAGTTGTAAGAACGCTTCTGTCTTTCACTTGATTCACTGGCGATCAGGTGAACAAGTGAGTCGAGACGCCTACATTCTTCAGAGGGAATATCGGAGATGTTCCCGTCGAATAAATGTCCAAGAATTGTCAGCAAAGAGCCAAACTTTAGCATAAATTCATTGCAGTGGTCAAGTGCAGACAGATTAAGCTGCCGACCAATTACAACGGGTGACGACTGACTAGTAATATCATCTGACTTAGATTTAGGTAAAGCTTCTGAGTAACGTTTAGTTAGGCCATGTTTACTTACAAGAGCCGAGAGCTTACGTCGACCAGTGACTTTTGGTCTCATCTTGTCTCGAGGCAATTTGTGATTAAGAAAACTTCTGGCAGACAAGTTGACTGAATTTCAGCTAGGGGCTAACGATGTAAAAATAAATTACCACAGTTAGAGAGAAATCGGATGCACAAAATGAGAATTTCAAAGTGCGATTAGTGAACAACGGGCATAGACTAGCAAAACTCGAAAGGAGATGGCAGCGGGCAGTTCTTAGAGAAAAGGCCTGTATTTTAAGGATATTCAAACAAAAAAAACAGGTACTAAAATCGTTAGATCTCACAGAAAAACCACTAAAAATAATATCCTCCACTTATCTTCTGACTAAGATTTAGGTAAGCCTTCTGAATTAGATTTAGTTAAGCCTTCTGGCTTGGATTTAGTTAAGCCATGCTTACGTACAGAGGCCGAGAGCTTTCCCCGACCTGTGACTTTTATTCTTGATGTGCAATCTCGAAAAATTACAACTAAGCAATCAGATCGAAAAGCCCAAACATTTCGGTCGCCACGTTTATGATATCTTTGCGATTGCCACCACAGAAACCGACGTTGCTTTCCTCCTAAATGCTGTGAATAGAGCACAACCCTCGATCAAATTCACGTTTTAGATGGAATCGACCGGTTTGCTTCCTTTCTTAGATGTCCTTCTAAACAGGAGATCTAACGGTAGCATCCGTAGGAGCGTCTATCGGACGCAAACCTGGTCTGGACAATACACGAACTTTGTTAGCTTCGTACCTCTCCAAGAAAAACGAAATCTGGTCAGGTGTTTGGCGCAAAGAGCTGGAAAAACTTGTTCAACAGATAGTATCGAGGAGAACCTTAGAAAAATCCAGGACTGGTTTCACGAAAACGGGTATCCTGACAGGTTCATTGCAAAGGACCTTGCCGAACGACCCGTAAAACCCACCACACTGACGGCCGAAAAGAAAGAATTGTTCCTCAAAGTCCCTTCCCAAGGTGACACTGCAAGTGAACTCCTAAGAAGGCGCCTTGACCAAACTGTCTCGGGAACCTTTCCAGCGGCCAGGGTTCGAATATCATTCTCTATTGACCCTATTTTACGCGTAGAAGGCAATGATAGGCTGCCACTTCAGACCATCTCAATTTGCATCTACGCATTAGCTCGCTCCCGAGGAGCAGGTTAGGTTGGTCGTACGATTCGGCGCCTTTCCAGAAGAATACGAGAGCACATTCCTGGATGGCTGGAAAAAGATGAAACTAGGAGAAGAGACAGCGCCATCCTTCTGCATGCAGTGGATTCAGGGAATCGAGTGGACCCCGCTGAAACATTTCGTCTGATTTATAAGGTTCCCTCGAGCTACCCTAAGACACTGAGCCAACGCCTGTTAGCAGCAGCAGAAGCGGCCGCCATCAAGTTACGAAAACTGACCCTATGCGCCCAGAAGAACCTCGTTCAGGCTCCGCGTTTACCGTGGTCAAAGCTTGAGTAACCACATACAACTTTCTGCACCCTCCCACTCTTGCCTAGCCTGTATTTTCGAACTAACTTTTATCGGTTTTTTCAGTCACTGTACGCTTTTCCCATATAACTGTACCGGCCTGAAGAAACGTTATCGAAAGCAACGTTCGCTCGCCACTTTGTCTTCTATAAAATATATCACTAATTTTACGCGTTGATGATTACGTATTTGCTGGTGTATCAATTAAGATAGTTACTACGTACAGTAATGACAAGAGGTTTAAGGTAGCTACTCGATCCTGCGTTTTTTACTGCGCGCAAAGGCATATTGTCCTGATACGCCCAGGAATAAACTGATTTCTGTTTTTCCCCACAGGTATCCGCAGGATGTGTACGTTTGCGCATGTTTTGCGTGCCCCTGGGGGTGTGAGCAAAATTCCTTAACAGAAGCAAAGGGTTTTCTTATGTAGCTGTTCATATTTGTTGTTGAAATCAAAGAAAGCGCATACTAAGCGTTTGCGTGTTTTAATTCTGTTAACAGTGTAATGTCAGAAATGTGGCACATTCACCTTCCATGGCCGAGATGTTGTGTGGATATCTCTAAATTTCCGATTATCAAAGCATCTTCAGCTATTTAGTGCCTTTTTAAAGACCTTTTCACAACCCCAATATCTCTCCGGATAGGTTTTAGTTAGAAAGGTAACAAACGAGGCCCACACCACGGCAGGTAAAGGAATATCTAAATAAAAATGGACAAAATTGGGTCGCATTAATGAACGTTTTTCAAACCACGTTGGTCTCAAGACTTAGTGTTTGAAAAGTTATTGAACGGTGAACTGCATTCATGAGCCTTCATATTTATGTGCATAGGGTAGTTAAGTTTCATAAATGGTCTCTTTACTGCTTTTATCCCTTTCGTGTGCCACGCGTGATGTGTTTCTGAGATTCGTAATGATGACCGCCAGTGTGTTTAATTATTCAATGAATTCAAATGACAAGTAACGCTGGAATTCAAATTGTCCTTTATCGTTGAAACCTATTAAATATTGCAGTGAACGTTCATATTCTTAATTGAAACCAACAACTGTTGCGGATTCCATGCACTTTTAAGAGATTGTATTGATTCACTGTTCCGTCGCTCATTTCGCAGCAAACTTGCGATAGCGTTCGAGAAGCGCGGCATTTCAATATTGGAAATGGCTATTCTCCGTTGACTGATCCCTTCGGCATTCCAAAGAAACGCCCGGAGGGTTATTCGAAATTCTGTTCCATTTACTGGTATTGTCCTTTTCGGATACTAAAATTGGAGAGGTAATTTGGCCTAAGTATTACACACGGAGATGTGATCATGTATCCTATTACGTGTAAATTATATTCTGATGAAAAAGCTACCCGATTGAAGGTTAGTAAGACGGTTTCAAATTTGGCGTCACACTGGTATTCCATAAAACCAAGCAAAGTCAAACGTCGACTGTTTAGGCAATTGTGGATGAGAAAAGGTTCTTGAGGAGTCACACTGTAGGAAATTCGTCCGGATCTGGCGTTTATTTCCTGGACAGGAATCGTTGGGATGCGCCTTATTAATTGTTCCGCGATCTCCCAGATACGGAGCGTTCCTCCACTTTGATGGCATGTGATGCTTTCTATAAAATCGTTACGTATCATCACTTAAGACGTTTACTGAGACCCTATATAACGACATATGGCATCGCAAAGTCTATCATCGAGTTATAAAATTTCAGTATATGTACAGTGCATTTAAACAGGACTGATCTGGGTGAAGTTTCTGTCAACTTGAAATAGCGTAATTTGTTTCGACCACAATCATCTGCCTAGGGATAAGCTGAAGCTGACCTGTTAAAACCGATAATATTCAACAGGCTAAACCAGAGTTACTTCCAAGTATTGACTAAATGGACCAAGCAGAAGGCAATTCGTTTGCAGGAAAAGTACATATGCGCTGGACATTTGGCACTTCAGATTCATCAGACGTTTGTTTTCTCAGATAAAACGGCGGTATTGTTTTATTCCATTTTGCAAGACTATCAATGGCATGCAAATTAACTTAATCGTCTTCCGTAAAAAAACATGTTCTCGAGAATACTTGAGTCTGCCTGTCCAACAATATCCCAAATTGCCGATACAAGCGAAAATGCCAGTTCCAGGAACTAGTTGATCAGAAGAAGAAGCGATCGCTGGAACAATGGCTTTATTCGCCTGACGTTTCGGATTCTCTCTTGAATCCATCATCAGAGACAGTTGCAGAAAAGGGTGGCTAATGTACAGGCAGTCGCAGTATTTATAGGATGCGGTCGCCATGCTACCGCATACCTACAACAATTAACCGTGCTCCCTTCATCAAGGATTGTTGCCCGCAGGTGCGCTAATTGCTTGATGGCCGGCATGCAAGTTGTTAATTGCTGACATCTCATCACCCGTGTTGGATGCTGGCGTGATGATCGCTCGGCCATTCTATGGTCTCCCAAAGGTGCACAAGGAGGGCGCTGCTCTCCGGCCCATTGTTTCGCTCAAAGGCACTCCAACGTACGGACTGGCAAAATGGCTCTTTCGGCGCCTCAAATTTCTGACGGCTGACTCGGACACCACGGTCTGTTCATCAACGCAATTCCTGGAGAAGCTTAAAGGAGTAAGTCTCTTGCCCAATGAGGTCATGATATCTTTTGATGTCACGTCCCTCTTTTCTTCTATCCCCCAGGATCTGGCAATCGAGACCGTCCAGCTACTCCTACGAAACAAATACGATGAAACTGAGAATCGTCTCGGACATGCCCAAGTCCTTCAGCTCCTAAAGTTCTGTCTCAGGACGTACTTCACGTTTGACGGAACAATCTAAGAGCAAGTGAAGGGAACACCGATGGGCTTGCCGATTTCGGGATTATCGCCGAGGCGGTGCTACAGCGGTTGGAGTCGCTGGTCTTCCAACACCACAGACCGAAATTCTGGGCTCGGTATGTGGACGATACCTTCGTCGTCATCGAACGGGATCAGGTGCTAACGTTCAAAGAACGTCTCAACAGCGTCTTCCCGGACATACAATTCACGATGGAGGAGGAAGAGAATAACCAGCTGGCATTCCTTGATGTCCTCGTCTGTCGCAAAGATTGTGGTGGCCTAAAGACCAAAGTGTTCAGAAAAGCAACGAACACGACGCAAATTCTGAACTTCAACAGTAACCACCCAATCTGCCACAAACGCAGTTGCGTAAGAACGCTATTTCGGCGTGTTGAAACGCATTGCAGTGAACCGGAAGACAAGGTTGCCGAATCCCAATATCTTCGACGGGTTTTCCGAGAAAACGGTTATCCGCGCAACTTCGTCAACCAGTGCTTGCGCAAACGAGACGAGCGACAAAATCGCGCCGACCCCAAATTCTGGCGAGCGATCCCGTACATCAAGAACGTCTCCGAGGCCGTTAGCCGCCTTCTTGCACCACTTGGGGTTGGAGTTGCGCACAGACCGGAGGCCACCATGAGGCGTCAAGTGATGAGACCAAAAGACCCACTGCCACGGCAAGAAACATCTGGAGTCGTTTACCGGATCTGGTGCAGTTGCGGACAAAGCAACTACGTCGGAAAAACTGGAAGACTGCTCCGGACGCGAATTGCCGAACAAGTGGCAGCTGTACGGAGAAATGACGCCAACTCTCAGGTCGCGGCCCATTCGACGAGACCCGGCCACACATTCAAGTTCGATGAGGCCGAAATTCTCGCGAGAGGGGATAATCGCGTGAGCCGCGAGTTGCTTGAGTCATGGTTCACGGGACCTCAGTCTATCAACAAGTGCAACGACATCCCCACTCCATATTATGTCCTGAGGCATAGACTGGCCAAAGCAATTGACCACCCGAGGAGCGCGCAAGCACGTGAGCCAGATGGCCGAACGATCATCACGCCAGCATCCAACAAGGGTGATGAGATGTCAGCAATTAACAACTTGCATGCCGGCCATCAAGCAATTAGCGCACCTGCGGGCAACAATCCTTGATGAAGGGAGCACGGTTAATTGTTGTAGGTATGCGGTAGCATGGCGACCGCATCCTATAAATACTGCGACTGCCTGTACACTAGCCACCCTTTTCTGCAACTGTCTCTGATGATGGATTCAAGAGAGAATCCGAAACGTCAGGCGAATAAAGCCATTGTTCCAGTGATCGCTTCTTCTTCTGATCAATATCCCAAATGCATCAGACACGCATCGGTTGAATTACGTGTGAAATACATATGTACGTTGGATTCCGAGGCTGTTTGCGAATATCGACTACGTTTTGCATAACCTTTGTGAGCATTATCTTTGCAGGAAGAAAACATATCTAAAAAGTATTTGCTCAACCGCGCACAATTGCACCTTAAGTGGGGATTTCGAAGATAAAGGAAGGGCGACGCAGCTTCACGCCAACGGCCTTCCTTGTCAAGTTTCGCGACACTGCTGGCGCATGCCAGGCAATATGCCGGGAAATCAAATCTGGTGGTAATGTGAAAGGAGACGGACGTTTAGTTTCTGGATGCATATTACTGAAAATGGGATTAGGACAGTTTCTCGGATCATTTAACGCAGAAAGACTCTTGTTTAGGACAGTGTTTTTTCGTGACCGGGAAACATCTCGTGGTATACAGTAATGTTGTAAATAGAGGCACTAAAACTGCAGCATTTATAGCACGTAGCTGCCGTTGGGCCACATGCGTACTATAATTAACAGCTGTCGTGATCACCGCTGAGGGTCGTTATTAAGGCGATTATGGCCCGACAGTCCGCGTCCAAGTCGCTAACTGCCGCAATTGCATCCTCCGTGTTGGATGTTGACGTGATGATTACCTCACAATCTGGCCCGCTGTCACCGGGAGAGTTGATCGCCCGCGCCTTCCCCACATGACTGATTTTCCTGATCAGTCAATGTCTCAGCATTGAATATGGCACTGGGGGGTCATTGCACTTGTTGGTGCATTACGGGCCTAAGAACCATAATTTGAACGGTGCAAGGAAACACCTCATTGCATACAGTAATGTTGTAAGTGCTTAGCTAGCTTTTAAAATGATTACACCTATAATTACGGGTAGCTTTCGGCATCAAATGGTTTAGAGGTGTCAAAGGGACACATAACGGCCTATATATTGAACATTGAGCATTGTCATACGCTTCATTTAAGTATGGACGGAAAGTACCCCAGAATGACGGATATGTGCTCATTTCTTTGAGCTTTCGACCTCGAGCTGGCACAAGAATCCGTCTTCAGCGATAGAATCACTGGTAACAAAAATGACCGTCATATGACAAGTTAACTAACCAGAAATCGCCATCGTTCTTCTCGAAAATGATTGTGCAGGCCCTACACGCGAACGTAAATTCAGTTTGACGGTTGACCGAAATCAAATCCGATGTTAGGATACTCATCAACGCCGGACTTATTTGTGTTTCTAAATTGATCTTTTACTCCGGTAGCTACCAACGCGAACGCATTACTTTGTTCGCATGTGCGGATATCTACTCTTAAGCTTCAACCAGTTATCGACCGACTAAACGTTATCCCTGATCAGAGGAGAGCGACAAAATTTGTGAAAGACCTCGGAACTTTACCTTACACCTGCAGTCTTAGTAAACTTCAACTATTTCCTCTTGAGTACAGGCAGATTCTAGGAGATCTCATACAGACGTATCGGATATTGAGGAACCAGGTCTGTGCCATTAATCTCGACGATTCCTTCACCCTGGCCACAACAACAAACCTGCGTGGGAACTCTCGAAAACTTAGAGGATCCCGATGCCGTCTGGACACAGCGAGTCGTCGGTGCCTGGAACGGGCTTCCCGAGGACGTGGTAATGGCCGACTCCAGGGAGACATTCAAGCAAAGATTAGAAGCATCTTTGCTTGGAAAATACCGATTCTCTGGACAGAACAGCTCTGTTGTGCCAAACCAACGCCTTGCATATACCTACCGCTAATGCGGATGATTGTCATTTCATTTTACCGATATCATTTACAACTGAAAATTCTCGATTTTCGGTCCTGTATTTTCCATGAAAATATTCTGTTAAGTGAATATATCACTGAAAACATTTTAGTACCATGTATATTTAAAGATAGATATTGCATGTTCCGTTCTCAATAGGGCTGTCAAAGGCATTGCCTATTACCCTTAAGATATACTGACCTATACTGACTTATGCATTTAGATTAACATTATTTTAAGACCCCTATCGCGGTAACAGAAAAGTATTTCATTAGGATGCAATCGAAGAAGGAAAGCGCGGAATCAATTCCGTAATTTCGGAAACTATGCTTGAGTGCAACTAGGTTTACAGCCAAATTTCTACATTAGCCTTCTAAGGTTAAAAACAACATCATTTTGGCTTCAATATATCTGGTCTACTGTTAGCTGTGTAAAAGTTTTAGACTAAAATTGGAAAACATTTTTACACTGTTCATGAAGCCCCTTATCTATGGACATAAAGTTTATTAAGAATTCTCAACGTTTAAATGAGGCTTGTACTTTCTGCATGAGAACTTATGTTAGACATTAGTTTTAATATTATTAATGTGCATTAAATTATTATGAGTGAAAAGATGTTGGGGATAAACGGCAAGGACATATTAGTTTCCAGCAGTCTATTATTAACTGAGTGTGGAGATGTAGTCTGCCCTGTTGTGCGCTTTAATAAATGAGTTATGATAAAGCACCGAATCCTCTATAGATGGATCGTGAAGAGTCAAACAAATTTCAAAATAACTTGTGGATGCCCTCATTCAGAAAGACAATATTAAATGCTCTAAAGTACGACCGAGTTATTTCATACGAGGTATGGTATGGGCGCTTGATCAAAAGATAACTGACAATCTACCTTGTTCTGTCAAATGACTTAATGCACATTCGATAAAAAAAAATATTTTGTTTCAGCCAAGTCGCCTGATATCGGATAATCCTCTGAAGAACTTAATGATATGTTTGGTTATCATTGTCAGGAGAAAAACAGATCTGATATTTTTATAAAAATTACTTACGAAAAGCGGAACAAGCGTCGCTAATGGTTATGCAGATTAACAAGAAAGGCAAAGTTGTCCACATGATGCAACAAAGTGACTTCTTCATCTGTCACGTCGAATAGGCTTATAATTATTGCCTGTCCAAGAACCTATCTCGTGTTAATTAGCGGGCTGAATTTGTTATTCAGAGTTTGTGTCTGCACGTGTGCGCTTAATGAAACAAAAGAGAACGTAGCTGGGGTAAAACACCCGCCTCTCTACCGCGGAGAATAATCAAAGAAAAAGAGCACACACGTATCTGCGATCGACCTTTTAGAAATACGGACTAATATGCGCTTATTTGTTTGCTTTTGCGAATAATTTTCTTTGAAGTCATAGCCTTGGTTTTTTCTCTTCACAGGTAAATTATCAGATGGCCAGTTAAGTTAACCAAAGACTTGACCGCTATCAAGCAGATTATCTGAAGTAGTCAGTTGAGGAGAGGCGCGATGTGTGTTTTCTTCAAAAAAGCCTATTTTTCTTGTTGAATAGTAAAGTTGAAACTAGAAGTAGAGCTAAATCTCCGGTAAAATGCTGATTGTAGTTTGGTTTTGGTCTACTTTCTGTGGTTACTTATCGCATCCAATAGACGTTAACCGGAAGTTCTTCAAAAACCTAAATGCTTTCTAAGCTACCGTACCGAAGGCGGTTAAAGTGATCTTTGTATGATAGTTTTAGGTCAACTATGTGTCTGCATAGTGATTATATGAAATGTTTGTGAAACTATCGAAGTTCAGTTCGTGAGTATCAGAATATGTTTGTATTCAGCTGCAAATGCATAAAACTTGCATGAGATTTCCAAGAAAGCATCTTTCAG